TCTGTATAAGATTGTATATATTGTGTACACAACAATTTATTGTTCCTTAATCATTTAATGGTATGGTATGTACACTGGCTTACATAAGGTACCATTGGCTTAGGCCTATACTTTGCTTTATTAGGCTACTGTCATGGCTTTTTGCTTCCATTTCTCTTTATTACAACTTAATTTCATGCTAAAAATTTGATATATCATAGTAAAGCTAACCTTTCATTCACACGAATTTGGTGAGTAAATGCTCATGTTTACAATGCTGATAATGCAAACACTCAAGTAACCCGATACATTATCCTGATAGCCACAAGCATTCTTTTGCACTTAAAATATGATAAAAACTTTAATTATTATGATAAAAAATGGCAGAGATATACATAATTAGTGAAAACTAAACAATTAATAAAATAGCAGACAATGTTTCTAACCACATTACATTAATTTTAAAATACTGCACACCCTGTGTGATTTAAGTTCGATTATTTTTTTAATTATTTTGCGGAGATTAACATATAGTAAAGGCAAATATGCGAAAATAGCAGTATATTGCTAAAAATCTGTTTCTGTGCATCAATTGCTTAAAAGATTATTTGTGTCTCATCCAAGTAGGTATTTCTAATTATTGTACCTATATATTAAGTGGAAAGATTTTGGAATATATCTTTTCACTTATTGCAATTATAATGATCACTTTTTTTAAGAACATATAAAAAGTTTTCTTTTTACAATTGCTTATAACAAGCTCTCTGCATCTTTGTAAAAACTTATTAAATCTTTGGTCCTTAAAGTTACTTTTAAATGATCATTATTGTTAATCATATTACACATTTAATATTATATATATGTATATGTATTTATAAATAGATTGTTCACAAGCTGCATACTTGTGAATGATACTAGTATCGAATTAATTCTTGCTCATATTTTTAAATAATGTTTCAAAAACATATTTTGCTTTTGATAAAATCAAATTGATACTAATACCACCCACAAGGCAACAAAAAGAATATTTAACATAGGCCATGAAAAGCCTGAAATTTATGAACAATTGTTAGAAAATATGATACATTTTTTTAATTAACATAAATCATTTGTAATGGCAAAGCTAAAGAAATAGATCAATTTATTTTATGCGATTCATGGCACTCATTTTACAATTCAACTTACAATATAAACATGGTAATCCTACAGAAGACCAGTAGTACACTAAAGAGAGCATTTGCATTTTGCTTTATAATGATTTAATGCTAGTTAACTACATATATCTAATATATATAGGATATATTACATTTATTTCATGACTGGATGATATGAAATATTTATGATGGTAACCCATTGAGTTTGATTGCACAAGCAATTCTAAGACATTAAACAACTACATGACCCTTTAAACTTAGTATAACTTATTTGATTTCTAATGTAACGATTATTAATACGGCATAAGAAATTGTTTAAATTGAAAATTTCAAATTTTTTATGTTGGCGTGTAAGTAACGATTATAAAGAAAATGTTATATCAAAACAAAACATGTACTAAAATAAAATGACCTTTATGAGCAGTTACATAGTTAAATAAGCAGCATCTAATATGAAACACGTTTATCCAATGACCATTCATTCCAACGTTCATATAAACATTTTATCACTTAAACTATACAGATCTCTTTTATTAAACCTAATACCACTTCATTCAAATAACACTGCAAATGATCCTATTAAAAAATATAGACTTTTAGATATATTTACAAAATTAATTTGTAATATTTATCCTTCCACTGAAAACCACTATAAATAGACATTTTTATACATGCTGTATAATTATGTCACTTTTATTATCTTTT